GTAATTCATGGATAGTTCAGAACTCACTTTTCCATTGATAATGACAGCCTGGTTACGGTTTGAATAGCTTCGGAAGAGAGATAGTTGGGTACCTCTGACACCCATTGCCTCCAGCTTAGTCAGGAGAATGGGAATGGAAACCGTGTCAAACGCCTTGGCCAAGTCGAGGAAGACCGATAGGCATTTATTACCCTTGTCTAAGTTTCTGATCACATGATCAGTAAGAGAGTGAACCGCATCTGCTGTGGATCTGCCAGATCTAAAACCAAATTGTCCAGGGGACAATAAGTTCATTTTCTCTAGGAAATCGATTAACTGGTTAATGACGTCCCATTAGAGACAGACAGCAATAATTACCGTTACAACTTATTAAAAGTCCGCTGCTAAACCTAGGCCTCTCCGAGAGATTGCCCCATAGGGAAATATTTGATATAGTGGTTACGCTTAGCTAGGAGATAGGCAATCGCTGTTTTCATTTTTAGTTGTTGCAAAAATGCAGACATGTTGTCACCCGTGAGGACTAAGATCGAATGCCTCATTTCCAGTAAAATGGGTCTCTGGTTCTCTACACTCGCCATACGAAGTTAAGCTGCTAATTTTACACTGTTATTCTGTGAGAGCGTGATCCTTACCCGGTCGACCATTCGTGCTACAACTATACTACTAATATAGCTGCAGCATGGCTCTACCACGTTAAAAACATTAGAAGCGGGACAAGTGAGCTAAGGATCTACTTAATATATATTGCAGTGATGGATAGGGCAATAGAATGCTCATTAACACCTAAATCCAAGAAGATAGTTTATGTATGGTGAGTGGTGTGAATGAAAATATCCTCTACCAAATAACCTTCACCGACCGACCAAATAACTTCTGGTATAGTGTGTATCTGGTGTAGTGTGTGCTTTTTTGTTAAATTTATTTCTATACTATTTTTTTATAGAATAAGGGTGACCATGAAGGAAACGAGTAAGCAGTCCACCTGATGGTAAGTGGGTGCCGAGGACTATATACATATATAAATCTTTTCTCGATTAAGAATCAAAATGCGCTGTTAACTCTGAGTAGTAAGAGAGAATGCTCAGTTCCAGTATAAAAGATCTCCGTTTCTTTACACGCGCGATATGAAACACAGCAGCATTAACCTGCTATTTTAAGTTGGTATCCTATTAGAAAGTGGTTCTTCCCCGGCCGAGCCGAACCATTCGTGATACAACTTTATTATAGTAGCAGCATGCCCCTACCTAGAGGTTTATAATTAAAAATTTTCACAGCACTGTATTACAGATACTAGATTTTTTAGATTTAAAGCCAAAACACAGCAGATACAGTGTTGTATAATATATACAGGGTTATTTTGCAATAACCGGCGAAATTTGCAGTGAAGTTTCATAATAAGTACTATATGCAAATGGGGAAGAAAAATTAACTAAAAAAAATCTCAAACATTCTGTCCTTTTTATCATTTAAATTCAAAATATGTGGTAATGCATTATATTAACAGATTGTCATTCATAAATATCTAAAGCCGTCTATTTTACTGCCCACGCACACATTCGTAAAGGTTGATCGGTTGGCAAAAACGTTGTGAATTGAATCACACACACAGGAGAGTGCGTACGTGTAGTTGTTACCCATAAAACACAAATAAAAGTAGAAGCCTTATTTACTCGAACATTCAAAAACTGTATTAACGTTATATCATTATTTTGAAAAATAGCCCTGTATTTATATATATATATATATATATAGGTATATATATATATATATATTTGTATATATATATATCATCATCATCATCATCATTACAGCCCTTCACAAGTCCACTGCTGAACATAGGCCTCCCCCAAAGAATGCCACAAAATATATATATATATATATATATATATATATATATATATATATATATATATGTATAAATACATGTTTATTAGGCTGAAGAATTGTAATTTATATTGTAATATACTTGGTATGGATTTTTTCTAAGCTTAAAATTACTTTCTCAGCGACTAAAAGCATCTTTAAATCTATGTTCTCTTAGATATTGCTTTAATCTCTAAGATTGTAAATATGGAGAATGCTCAAGTATCTTAAACCGCAACGGCGGACTTTTGAACCGGGAAGTTATCTTGATTAAAACAATCACAATCTTTGCGAGTTTGAGAAAGTCACGTCCATTATTATAAATACCGAGTAAAAACCGATCGAGATAAACTTAAGATATTCCTTTAACTTTGCTGTGTCGTGTTGATCTAGTGGTTGTAGTAGTGCGACTGCTGATCATGAGATCCCGAGTTCGAATCCCGAGTCGGGCCAAAAAAAATTAGTTATTGAGTTTTTCCATCAAGAAATTCTCAATAGCTGCCCGGAGTCAAGAAGTTGGCGGTGTCTCACCCCCGTGCCTCGGAAAGCAAGTAAAGCCGTTGGTCCTGTGCCTGATCTCTCTCCGGTCGCATCGGTTTACCGTCCCATCGGACTATGAGAGTAAGGGAATAGAGAGTGCTCCTGTGCTTGCGCATACACTTGGGCACTATAATCCTGTCCTGCGCCGATGTCTAGTCTCCGTTGAGACTGGCCGCCGTGACAGAAATTCGGTCTGGAGGACATTATTATTATTCCTTTAACACTAGTTATCATTATTTATAAATAAGCACACGATCATATCAAAACGCAGCTGTTGTCATCTCACTGATGACCAAAATCATCTGAGGACCAAGGTGGAACGCTTCGTTACCAATAAAAAGTCTCGGATTCTCATCACTCTGCTAACGAAACAAATTTCCTGCTAATTATGCTGGAAATCTGTGCGGCCGCGGTTCTGCTGCTATAGAATCCACCCATTAGGGCCACTAATTCATTATAATACAGAATTATCTACGTGGTAGATCCATGCTGCAGCTATATTAGTAGTATAGTTGTAGCACGAATGGGTCGGCTCGACCGGGGAAGGACCACGCTCTCACAGATTATCAGCGTAAAATAGCAGCTTAACACTGCTGTGTTTCGTATGGTGAGTGTAGAGAACCGGAGACCCTTTTTACTGGAAAACAGGCATTCTATCTTAGTCCTCACGGGTGGAGGTGGTGGAGGATAGATTTAGATGTCTTTGGGCCACAGCAAACACTTACCATCAGGTGGACTGTGTGCTCGTTAGTCACCCTATCCTATAAAAAAAATTAGGGTGATTTTATCATTTAAAACGTACATAATTTGATTTATAAATCTTAGTAATCTGGTTTTTATTAAAGGTACCAATCGCTACTAATAATACACGTAATATATTTGTGTGTAAATACTGTGTACATGACCTGGTATAACAATTCACACAACAAAGAGGAGGGTTCAAAGGAACAATTTGTATTTATTGCTTCTTCGTAACTTGTAACCTTCTAAGGGCACTAGAGTTGCATGAAGGTCTATAAATTGCCCCGCTTCCGAAACTGTTGTGAAATCTAAAGCTTTGAAAGTAAACTCTACGGCTTGTGAAATTAAAATTAAGCCTTTAATTAACAGTAAAAACCAACCTTTAAATAAGTTAAAAAAATATATTCCTTGAAAAAAAAAATAATACTACTTATTATCTAACATTCTAAGTAACATTGTATTCAACATTGTTTTTTTAGTCAAGTAAAACAAAAAAAAAACCTTACGAAGTCGCGTTTTTAATTCTTTTATATGTCGCCGCTAACTAGCTTAATTAGCCGTTCAATTAACAGCCTAGCTTTTTTTCTAGACGACGCCGTTCACCTAGCGACCTGAATGATATTCAGCTGATGTGTCTAATACAACATTGCGCATATCTTGTAATATCAACGACAGTAGGTTAAGGTGCGACTAGTGTGGCCCTTGGGTACCCCTAAAGCCGTGTACATTTGTATAATATAGCACACAGCGGTAATTAGGCAAAGACCAGCGACCGTCCCGTTGAATGCAAGTAATAAGATGACCATGCCATGTAATGGCTAGGCTGTTAATTGAACGGCTAATTAAGCTAGTTGGCTCCGACATTTACACTGAGTCTTAGCACCGAAGTCGGCCTTTACATTTTTATTAAAAAATATTTTTTTTGATACTTTTAAGTGGACTAAGTGATATCATTAGCTCAAGATAACAACTAGAATATCGTATTGAACTTTATACCCTATTTTGACCCTTGGCTGTGGGACTTTTTACCTAATTTAACACTTTCACTGTCCGATTTTCAGACACAATAATAAGACTATAGCAATGAACTGTATGTTGTACACGGGACAACGAACGGGTTAAATTGGTCGCCCCCTAAAGTATAATATATTTAATTAAAAAAAGAATGATTAAAATCTGTTCACAATTGACGAAGATATCGCGTAACATACATACATACAAATAAGCGTAATGGTTAAACAGTAGGCAATTAAAAAGACACGACGTAGCCTAAAAAGTCTATTGAAAAAAAAATATTACCCTATGTCACTTCCATATCTAATTACACCCCATATTATGAAAACGCGTGCACAGTTCACCTGACGGTAAACAGATGCTGTGGCCTATAGACGTCTACATCTGCACTCGATTAAAAATCAAAATGAAAACATATTGTCACCTCTGAGGACTTAGATATAATGCTTCATTTTCAGTAAAAAGGATTATCAGTAATCAACATACGAAATACATTACAGTTAAGCTGCTATTTTACGCTGGTATTCTGTGAAAGCGTGATCCTTCTCCGGTCGAGCCGACCCATTCGTTCTACAATCATATATAACATATAAAACATACAAAACTTTTAACATACCAATAAAGTTTCACAAGAAAGAAGAAGCACTACCATTTAACTTAGCTTTTCTGGATCATTTAAATAACAAATACGTTGGCATTAACAAAATTGGTAAGTATAGTTATTTTAAGTGGTAAGGCAATTTAACCCTTAGGTGCATGAATTTTTATTTTTGAAAGAATAAAATATATGTGTTAAAGCGTGACCTCCTGATCATAGGAAAAATAATTAAAAAAAATTATATCTGTATATTAAAAGTTTTATTGGCAAAAAAAAGTTGTTATCAATTTTGATAAACTATGCATTAAGAAGTTTTTTGCTTAGTGATACTAGAAAACATAAAGTACCCAAGTTTTTATACTTAATGTTATTTTATTTTTACATAGCATGAAAAACTTGAAAGCAATTATTTTTTCTATTGTCACAAAGCGATATTTTGCACTTAGTACACATTACAGAAGTTAGTTTTTTGCAATTTGCATATTTGCATTGATTTCTCTTAGTGTTGTAGCTTTTGTCATGTCCAACTCCATCAGTACGGACGTCGTTTGGTGGTAATGTCTGTGCACCAATCTTTGGTCTCTTTTTTGACGTATTTTCCTGTCTATTCATGCTGGGTCTGCCTCTTTTATTTTCAGATACGGCCCCATACTTGCACAAAGTTTCAGCTAGCTCCGTCCGAAAATCAACAAGTTTTAAAATGTTTTTTGGATTTGTTTTCTTTTTCAGTGAAACTTTCTTGTATAAAATCCAGCTGTTTATTACCGCCATGTCCAGCATATGTTGGAATAGTCTATTGGTCCACTTCTTGGACTTCATTCGGATCCTATATCGCCCTAAATAACTATCCATTGTGTCCACACCCCCCATATGTGCATTATATTCTTCAATTACTTTCGGACATGGTATTGATATGTTTTTTTTCTGCTTCTTGTCATAGCGGCTAATAGTACCCACAGGATTTGCACCTACATACGTAGATAACAGCAAGACCTGTTTGTTATCCTTCCAGCTAGTCGCTGCAAACTCAACACCATCAAGAGAAGCAACATTCTCGTCGTACGAACCCCTTGGTACAGATGTTTTCTGTACATCTTCCTTTTTTGGTAGCTTACAGGTTTTTCCTAATCTGTTTCTTTGAACTGTACCTAAGCAATATATGCCTTCCTTGTGCAAATGATGAAACAGAGTCAGGCTTGAATAAAAGTTGTCAAAGTACACTATATGATTTACTTTTCTCGGTACAGGTCGAAGCAAACGCACCACTGTATTTGAAACTGCTCCAAGATTTGGCTCATTTGGTAGTCTTTTGTAGTCATGAGTTCCTGAGTAAATTTCAAATGAATATGCGTAACCCATCAGACAACAGAGCACGTACAATTTGAAGCCCCATTTATGAGGCTTGTTGGGCAAGTACTGCTTCATAAAGTGCGAAATTTTAGTTGCGCACATCTGCTCATCTAATGAAAGTCTATGATCAAAAGGAACTGACATGAATCGTTGATTTAGGTGGTCCACTATTGTTCGTATTTTGTGTAATCTGTCATGTTCAGGATGTTCACGGGGTAAGTGACCTTCATTATCGTTAAAATGAAGAATTTCCCGAATTTTTTCAAAACGGTTAACGGTCATCGTATCAGCTATTGGATGGAATCTTACATTATTTGCCCAGTAGGATCTTATACTAGGATAGTGATATACCGAAGTATAAATCAAGATACCAATATATTTTCTCAGTTCCAGAACTGTCATTGGTTCAGAAAAATTAATATTTTTTTGTATGGCATATTTATTAGATTCAGTAACGATTCTTGCGAGTAAACTTTCATCAAAAAAGTATGAAAAATACTGATAAGGAGTAGATAAATTCATAATAATCGGAGGGTAGTCAGTACATCCAAGAAATGTAAAAGCCTGATCCACCAAATCCAAATTCTTCTTTTTCCATATCAAATCCCGTAAACTAGGAGTGGCGTTGGAATGGGGCTGGTTTTCTACTAGTTCATCAAATATTAGTGGAGGATCAGGGACTGTCCCATCATTTTCGGTCAATATTTCTTCTAGTATTTGGTTCTCTCTTTCAAGATCTGCTTGCAACTCACCGACATTATCATAATAGTCTAAGGCATCCTCTTCTAGATCACTTTCATCTTCTGATACCTCTCCATTTTCTAACCGCCATAAGAGTGTCGAAATGTCTTCGTCATTCATTGTCCGCTGCTAGAAACCTAAAAACAAATATCTGTTTAAAAAAAACTTAAATAAAGAAACGAATCCGAAAAAAACATTAAAAAATAATAAACCCATATATCGAAAAAGTTTTACCGCTACTGCATACATTATCATTTTTGATAACAAACTTCAAGCCCAAAAATTTTACCAAATGTACAATTTTATTGAAAAATTAAAACATGGACACAAAATATAGATACTAACTATCCAAAAAATAATTTTTTTATTAGTTGAACACACTTTTATTTGTAAGATTTCTTCGGATGAAAATTACGAATTCGTTTTACTCTACAAACTGTCTGCGCTGTCATCGAAACTTTAAACTTTGGACCAATCACATGTAAGTATTTGAATGAACCAATCACAGACGAGTCTATGACATATAACGACACGTTCAGAAATCAAAATTTCCGGTTAAACGACTTTCGTTCAGGAATTAGGAGTCTAGAAAACCGTATTATCAGTTTTGATAAACTATGCACTTAAGGGTTAAGAATTGTTTAACTAGATGATAGTATTTCTTGGTATATTTAGTGTCCAGAATCCACCTGGACAGGTATAAACCTCTTGTTTATTTTAGAGGAAGAGAGGCTAAGTGGTATATTGTCTCTGGTTGATATGACTAAAAGAAAACGCAACGAAATACGGTAATAGATCACACTACACTCATACGACGGATTTGTCTATAAAACTAAAAATAAAACATAATCGTTATAAGTATATTCGCCTTTTTTTCAAAGCTATTATAAGCCAGTATTATAAGACAAAGACAAACAAACCCGGAACAATCACTTATAGGTCATATAATCCCACCTGTTGGTAATTGGTGACGAAGCCATAGATGGTAAATCGCACTGTCTTAGCGCAACGAAAACCTATTCACTCTTGCCTTGAAGAAGCCTAGATTGAATTCGTACGGAAAGAGAAACACCGACAAAGTATTCTACTCCTTTGCTGTGCGTATTAAAAAAGATGAAGCAAACCGTTTGGTTTTAGTGCACGGAATGCCAATAACAAAGAGGTGATGAGCTGATCAATTTTTTATAGAAGAAAGTATGACAAACGAACACTCAGTCCTCCTATTATTGGGTCCCATAGACATCTACAAACAAAAGTAAAGAACCAAAATGCTGATGCATTGTCACCCCTGTGGACTAATATGGAATAACTCATTACCAGTAAAAAGGAAAACCTGTTATCTACACACTCTCTACGAAAGACACTAGCGTTCTGCTGCTGTTCTGTTTGGTTTTACTTTACGTTTCTTGTTCTTTCCACGTCGGATTGTGCTGTTACGATAATACGCTATAGAGTGCCATTACCACGTAAAGTTCATGTGAAGCGTGAAAGATATTTTGTTCTCGATTTTTAATTTCGTAAACTGTTCTCAGTCGGTTTATTGGTCGTAAGTGCCACGGTTAATCATATGGGTCTGAATTCGAATCACGGGTCAGGCCAAATTATTCGGTTTATTTTTGTCAAAAAATTCTTAGTAGCAACCAGGACTCATAAATTGGCGTTGTTTCAACCCCGTATCTCGGATTAAACGTGTCGGATTGCCGTCACATCGACCTATGAGAGTAACCGAATATGAGACGCACCTGTACTTGCGCACACACGAGTAGGTACTAGAATTGTGTCCTACGCAGTTCACTAGCCTCTGTTGAGACTAGTCAACTCCGTAGGACACAATTCTAGTATATTTATATCTATATCTATATTTTACTTCAACGTAAAGCATGTTGTAGTCAATTTAACTTATCGTCATGTGGACTGAGTGTCCTTTTGCACACCTTCAATTTATGAAAAAATATCAAATAAAGCCTGCAAATCTCTCTAGAACAGGGCAACTTGCTCAGCTGGGGGATAGCGAAGTTATACAGCTATAACTTCACTTTTTAGTAGACTTCAAAAAAAGTAGGATGTTAACAATTCAACTAAATGTTTTTATGTATGTATTTTATGCGATATCTTCGTCAATTGTTGACCGATTTTGATGATTCTTTTTTATTAAATAAGTTATACTTTAGGAGTAATTTTGGTTTTTATGTATCCAGGGGCATAATAATGACAGAGCAATAGAAAAAAAAAAACGTCACCCCCACACTAGTATTGTCTAATTTATAGTGGAGGCAGTTTACATACATAAATTGCACAAAGACAAACAAACCCGGAACAATCACTTGTAGGTCATACAAATACTTGTTCAGTGCGGGATTCGAACCCGCGGCCTTTAGCGCCGCAACCTATTCCTAAGCTACTTCGCCACGGAGCCGTCAGAACTATTTGGACGACAATGATATTTATTTATTTATTCTTTATTGCATTCCTCAAATTCGTTCCAAAAAGAATACTTGAGGGTGGACTAATACCTTGAGGCATCCTAGTCAACCAATTGTGATGTTCCTTAGTCCACTCCAAAGGATATAAGTGCGGCCTTTTATTCTATATACAATATGTTTTAGCAGCAAAATTAGAATATAATATTATTTTTTATTTTTATATATTGTTTAAAATTGGCTTATGCTTTTTATTAAAAATTTATTAAATTATTGGTTTTTTAGTGCATCGCAAAGTTTTGTACTTTGCGATGCACTAAAAAACCAACTTAATGATAAGTGTTCTGAGTGTTTTGTTGGTTACTAAGCTCTTACAGGAACGTGTCAAGGATAATAGGCACTTTCTGATACCGTGTTGCTAGAGTGTCTCATTAGAGTAATAGAGATGTGAGAATGATATGAGTCTTAAAAAAATGTACATGATATTTAATGGATTCAGCAATAAAAGGTCACACAACATTGAACTCTTAACGATTTAGAAAGGTCGAGAGGCAAGCGAATTACGAAGGACAAGTTATCCTTCATGTTATTTACTTTGTTGTATATATTTTATTGTACATACGCTTAATAAACTTTAAAAAGATACATTTTTTTAAATATATTATGCGTGATATAAAAATATACACAGGGTTATTTTTCAGAGTAGCCAAATTTAAACTTAAGTTCAAATATATAAGTAATAATATAACGTTATTGCAGTTTTTAAAAATACGAGTAAATCAGCCAATTTAGAAACTAACTGTGAAACTAAATTTATTTGTAACTATCCCAAATTGAATGCGGTTTATGGGCAATAACGATTTTGCCTATCGATCGACCTCTACAAATGTGTGCGTGCGTAATAAAATCTATAAAATAAATAAAAAGGACAGAGTGTTTGAGATTTTATTAATTCATTTTTCTTTAACATATGCCTATATTACTTATTCTGAACCTTCCCTGTAAATTTGGCCAGTTATTGCACAATAACAGGGTTATTTTGCAATAGTTATGCACTCTGGAAATAGCTTTTGATGTGAGATTACTCGTAAACATGATAATTGCAAGTAGCCATAATTTTATAATAACATATTGACCACGAATTATGCCGATTAAGCTTTTGATATTGGATTACTGAAAACATGTTATGAAGTGTAACGGTACAGAAGACACTGACTCCACTGTATAACTGTTATTGCCGGTCAAACCAAGGCGTCATACTTTCATTCAACAGACTTGTTTTGGTCATCCTATAAAATTCCTTGCATTTAGAATAAAATTCATTATAGAACTCATCGTAGTAGTACTCATGTAATCACTTAGTTAAGGAAGTCAGTATTTCACTGAAATAGTTTTAATATATTATTGTAATGTAGTAGTAATAAATGTCATCGAGACAAAAAAAGCTTCAGCACCGCTTCCGAAACTACCTATATAATAATAAATAATTGCTAAAGAACAAAAATGATAGTAAAATTATGTCATCATCATCATCACCATTACAGCCTCTCACAAGTCCACTGCTGAAAATAGGCCTCTCCCAAGGAAAGCCACAAAGCACAGTCCTGACCCACCTGCATCCATCGACTTCCTGCATGTCTTACCAGGTCTTCACTCCATCTAGGTGGGGTCCGCCGGTACGAGGCCGCCACTCGAAAATATTTTTTCCTCATCGGTTGTCGGTTCTTTGAGCTTTAAAGAGAGTCCATTGTCACTTTAGCTTACTAATCCGTTGTTATGTTAGTCACTTTGGTTCTACTGCGTATATCATAATTTCTAAGTTTATCACGCAGAGAAACCCCGAGCATAGCTCTCTCCATAGCTCGCTGAGTAACCTTGAGCTGCCTCATACGGCCAGCAGTGAAGAACCATTTTTCAGCACCAAAGGTCATCACTGGCATCACGCGCTGGTTGTACAGTCTCGTTTTCAAGTTTTGAGGTATACCTGACGAGAAGATGTGCCGTAATTTCCCGAACGCTGCCCATTCCAGTTGAATCCGTCGATTGAACTCTTGGTCGAAGTTGGACTTACTTAGTCGGACTACTTGTCCTAGTAAACATACTTGTCAAAAACTTTGAGCTTAGTGCTCCCAACAACTACCGACATAGGTGTGACAGGGATGTTAAATATGATCTTTGATTTGTCTATGTTCATCTTAAGACCTATCATTTGGGAGGCACTAATAAGGTCATTGCGCATAGTGCTTAGGTCCTCCAGCGATTCTGCCATAAGTACTATATCGTTGGCAAATCGAAAATGAGTGATGTACTAGCTGTTGATGTTAATACCGTATCCTTTCCAGTCCAGTAGCTTGAAAACGTCTTCCAATGCAGCGGTGAAGAATTTCGGGGATAAACCTCATCCTGTCTTACACCTCTCTGCAGTGCAGGATAGGTTTCGTACTCTGGTTCTGTACTCGGATAGCCATCGTAACCCTTCTGTAAAAACATTTCAGCACTTCGATACACTAACAGTCAACTTGGCACCGCTGAAGGGACTGCAGCACCGCCCAAATTTTGACAGAATCAAAGGCTTTGTCATAGTCCACATACGCCAGACATAATGGTGCTCTAATGCTCTAACGACGATGTGTACAGCTGCCCATATAACCTCTCAATCTGATTCAAAATCTCAGGTGTCCCGGAAATGACCCTTCCACATTCAGTCTTTAGCTTCAACAGTTGGCTTTTTCTGGGAGACAGATCTCTAGCAAAGAGCCGATCGCTCTATAGATCGCTTCTTCAATGCGAGCTGCATTGAAGTAGTGTAAGTCCCGCCGCTTATATTTGGAGATTTGTCTGTTCATTTGCCTATGCGCTGTCAAATCTGCTGAAGATTTCAGCTTCATTTTCCGTCTAACAGCCATGAGATTAAGAGTGTGATCAGAACGTTTTTGTGTTCTTCTGTAATATACCCGCTGTATTGCAGAACTTATCTCCGACCGCATGGACAGTTTTCCACAAGCTTGTAACTTATTTCGTCTACTGCAT